TCTCCCCCCCCCCCCCCCCCCCCCCTGCGCGTTTCTCACACCTTGTTTCTTCCTGCAAAGGGGTCGAAAATGAAATAGCCACGCGAAATCTCAATACAGGTTCAAGTTCGTTGTGCATAGTATCAGATGCAGAAAGGGGTGGAAGGGGAAGGTTGTGGTTTTCGTTGCCTCTATAATCTTCATAACCGCAAAGGTCTCAAATTTTATCCGTGTAGCCGAGTGTGAAAGTCATGCTTGTAATTTTTGTAGCATTCATTTCGTACGCTAGAATGCCTTTCTGAGGCTCATGCCTTTGTCTCCGAGGATGGAAAAAACGGTTGGGGGTGCGTCGGTGTTTTGCCTTTATCCTTTTTACATGGATCAAGTCGGCGGAGCAAGCATTCACGCATTTCTCGTTCCTCTTCACAGGCAATGACATTGCATTGCATGGTCTGAGTCTCACACTCTGGCTCAGACTGCTTTTGTTAAAACCTTACCTACCGTACAAAATTACCGACGGAGGGTGGAGGGGGAAAAATGGAGGAGGCGCGGGGTGTTATGGGAACAAATGAAATTTTACATTGATTATTTGCTATTTTAAAGATTTTCCTCCGCAGTTTCGCGGGAAACAGCTGACAATAACTCATTTGGACAAATAAAACCTTGAGATTCGTCACACTTGAGTGAAGCCTTGATGGGGGGGGGGGGTGAGGAATCTGTCTCTTCAGTGACCGTTATATAGTCTGGACTCCAGACTAATGACAGAGGCTCTTCTGCACAATGGTTAGTCGAGAGGTCAACCCAATTAGCATCGTCTAGTCTGTTTGGAATTGGAGCACGGATGGGAATAGATCCGGAGTTGACATCATTAACCCGTCACCAGATATTTTTATGGGAGACCTCGCTAGGTGACGTAATGGAAAGCGTATCTGGATTGCCTATCGAATCGCTTCAAGTAATTGGCTTGGCATGGAATTCCCCGTCTATTATCAATAGGGATCGTGACTCGTGATTAGCGAGGTAGTTAGGCTAAGGTTCACATACGTGCAAGCTGGATTGGGAAGCGAAGGCGAACCGCTCCAGCACCTCCTGTTGACTAATGGCGTAGGCGGATAATGCCATATGGAACCTTTTTATTGTATTTTTGTCCCTCCTGGCCTGTAATTGATTCAGGGCTTCGGAACAGAATGGAAAAAATCCATGGAACGGAACATAGAATGCTATTCACTGATGGCAGAGGAACGGAACGAATTTTGATTCTCCCGATAGCGGAATAATTTCGTTTCGTCACGTTCTAAGTACCCAGACCATTATTCCCTTTGCAATCGCGATTTTCAAATATAAACGTTCTGGCGTATCACGGGTGTGAAAGAAATTATTGTTTGCTCGTGCTAAATTTCCCTGTGAATCGGAACGGAACGAAATTTATCATCGCGGATCGGAACAGATAAGGTGGAACAGAACACGGAACTAAAAAAATTCAGTTCCGAATTCCCCATCAACTCCCCATTTATTTCAACTGTCATTCTCACCCCTGACACAATTTTGTCGCCATTCCCCCTATCCGTCTAGCAAATATTGTGGTTAACCCCCCCAGGGGCAAAAACTAGGAAGGAAGGGGGACACATGGGTCCCGGCCATAGTGTAAAGCAGATCCCTTCTGCCTCCCCTCCCCAATTGAATATCCTAGACCCATCACTGATCCAGGGAATTGCGTTATGAATAGGATGTACCACAAGGACTCATACATGGCTCATCGGAAAGAGCGGATGATGTACTCGACATCCTTCGAGGAAAGATACGGGCGACGTACGATCGCTCCAGCCAGCCACACCGGCCCCTCTCTTCATCCCACTAGGACCTCCATGTCCCCTTCCGGTGAGTCCAAGTTCTCCGAGCTTCTTGAAAATTAATGGAATGGTGGTCCTTCACTTGGTCTTTTTTGTGGCGGAAAAAGCGTGGGAGAAGTACCACAACATCCGGCAACAAAGCACGACCGTCGTCTTCACGTCCGCAGAGTTGGAAGCCCTGAAGGAGAAGGAACGTCGACTGAAGGAAGCAAAGCAGAGGCTTCTGCTTACTGGTAGTGGCTGTGGTAATACTAGTAGTCCAAGTTTGAAGAGTCTTGGAGCGAATTCTCCTAGTCCCCCTCCGACGTACCTGAGACAGGCCTCATCCCCTCTCCCGGCCAATGCCGAGAGTTTTTTTCCCACCTCCTCTTCCCCTAAGAGGACCCGATCTGACGAAGAAGAGGAATGTTTGAGACTCTCTCGGGACCTGATCTCCCATCTCCCTGATGATGATCGTCTCCATCGACTCCTTAGTGAGTCTCTCTTGTTTTCTTCCTTCATCTACTGTTTTTTTCGTTGTGCAACGATCCCAAAAATGTTTGTGCGTTTACGTAAGAAGGATTAGGATTAGTTAACGAGTCAGGAATTTTGACGCCATGGTGTTGTATGAGTGTTCACCTACGTAGAGGTGGAGAAATGGAAGGTTATTACCCTCACGCTCCTGCGTCCCATGGGATTGGGGTGGAGGGTAAGAAATATAAGAGGCAAGACACGGACGACGGGAGAGGACGGCCTTGAGAAGGTCGCTCTGTCTTCCCCCCTCAGGGCACTTCATTCTGTCAATATCCTTTCTCTCGCTTTCTCTCTCCCTCCCCCCTCCCCTCTCCCTCCCGTTTGTCCTTGCCCTGGTCACGTGAGTGGAAGATTCCAGAACATTATGGGTGATATGCATCAGATCTGTTTAACTGAAACTAATCGGATCTCGCAACGGTCCTCCATGGGACGCGGTTTGACAGATAATCTTACTCCCGTAGACGCCCATTATGAAACCAGATCAGTTTAAAGCGTTACTGATCTTGTGCATGTCACCCTATATGTTTAGCGCCAAAATGAAAGTAACTGCAATGAGTTACACTTTCGTAATAGTGTGCAACGAAATCGAGTAAAGTTTTCAATTACTCTCACGGCGTCGTTGGGTGTTTCTTCGAAACAATGCTGCGGTATCATCGTCTACTGCAATTTATCAACGTGAAAAGTTTGATCGAGTTCGATGCGCTATCATTGCCACTGTGCTCGACAGTCATGATTCAGTAGCGCATAGGCCTCTCTGTGCAGCAGTGTTTGCCTTTAAGCTGAGCGTTTGATGAGTTTCCTTCGTAAAAATTCATCCTACAGCTTTTGAGACTTCATGAGGATTGCATTACACACTGCCAAGAGCCACATTTAATTAATATAACTCTAACTCCATGCTGTTTTCTTAGCTGATGGATCTTAGTCAACTCTCCGCAGTCAGCATTTCGGGTGTGGGGGATTTGATGGCAAATAAAAAAACAGGGATTGTGATGATGAGACTATTCCATTTCCCTCCCCTTTTCTTTCTCCCTCCTCCTCCCCCTCCCCTTTTCTTTCTCTTTCTCTTTCTCCCTCCTCCCCCCTCCCCCTCCCCTCCCCTCCCCTCCCCTCCGGATCTATTCCCATCCGTGCTCCAATTCCAAACAGACTAGACGATGCTAATTGGGTTGACCTCTCGACTAACCATTGTGCAGAAGAGACCCCTCCCCTCCCTTCCCTTCCCCCTGGATGTTATGATGCATCGATCTGAATCTGTGACCCCAAGGGTCGAGTTTAATTCAGCTCCCTCCCTTTTTCACATCAATACGTCCTTTTAGAGGAAGGAATTTCCGGACCAGATGGAAAGGGCCGCCACTGAAGTTCTCAATGCCATCGCCATTCTGCCCCTGAGGAAAGGGACTTAACGGAAGCTGAAAACATTGGATTTGAGGCTTGGATTGAAATTGAATGTTTAGAAGCTTGCCTAGCGGGCTTTTAGCGGGCTAAACCCGTTGCGCATGACTTTTACGTTGTTAATGTCCTATTTCTCCAACTGATGAGATCATGAAGAGATCTATTTTAGACTTGACCATCGCATTTCTCAGCAAATAGACGCAAAGAGAAATGCCAGAATCCATAATTTCACGTCTCTGATCCCAAAGGTTCATGTTGCACCTGTTCTGGTTTCTAGGCACACTGGGTCCATTGGGCATTTCCATAACGCTGGAAATAATGTGACTAGAAATTTATGATTTCATATATATAAAATTGGCGAAATCTTGTAATATTAAAAATATAAAAAAGAATTGCATGACCCGTTGACCCTACATGATTGGGTCTGAAAATTGTCGATCGGAATCTGGTTAGCCAGTGTCTGAGGACGCACAGGTGTAAGGATGCAAGGTGGACATGAAGAGATTGATGAGAATATTTCATTGCGCATATTTAGCATTTCAATTTAAAGGCACTCCAACTTGCGAAGTGGTGATCTGCATTGGTTCTGGTGACTTCCCGGCATTCGCCCACCTTTTGCGACCTCGTACTCCTCTAGTTACATCATTAGACGGGCGAAAAGTTTAAGGGTGGATTTTTGAACAGTGAACTATCCGATAATGCTGCTTTATTTCCAGGAAATATCATGTATTTTCCCTGGAATAAAGCTGCATTATAGGATAGTTCTCTGTTCAAAAATCAACCCTAAATTTGTATGGAAGGAAAAGCAGTCAGTTGCTGATGGATTCCCCTTTACAGTGCCTTGGTCGGGTGAGAAGACGTCGGCAGACTACGTGGTGGGCCTATTCCAGGTTCCTTCTGATTTGGACGAGGGGAACCGTCGTCTTCATGGTCGACCACCTCGAACAAGAAAGAGCAAGTCGAACATCCCTCAAGTGATTGGGTTAGTTGATCATTCGAAAAAGAGGAAAATTGATCTATATTCCTCCCCCCCCCCCCCCCCA